AATTCCCTTTGCAAAAGGCTTCGTATGCCAAGTGGTTGGCGATAGCTACGATAAGTCGATTGGTGCCTTTGCCAAGACCACCATACGTCGAAAAAGCATGCAGCAGCAGTAAGGAGGGTAGATCTAGACGGGTTGAAAGTTCCCGCATAGNTAACGCCTGTCTGTGACATCTATAAGGATGGATTTGGTGCAGAGTTCCTCTTCTTTCTTTATCTCCTGCGTGTAATCCTGGGGGGATCACTAAATCCATCTTGTAGAGCCCTCTTCCCCTACCAGTGCCTGTAGTAAATGGCGAAGAGTCTTCAACAGCGATTGGCATGTGGCATTCGCGTAATGTCTTCAACAGCACGCGAACCATCCTATTGTGCAGGAAGGTTGAGGCGCCGGTCTTCGTGTGTGTGTCCACGTGGTTTCCATATTGTTCGATTTAAGAGAAAAATCCCAGCTACAATAGGCAATTTCTCTTAAATCGATTTTGATCAATACAAGCCAATTCCTCTCTCTTGAATCCGTACTTTCTCCTAAATAAGTTCCCGTAAACCGTAGCCGCTACTGTACTCGCTAGAGGTTGCCGGGACATTGCGCACCAGCGCGCCCCACCNGATTCCCGATTTGGAGAGGGGGGATCTGATTATATGTCCTAAGGATTCCACGGGTTCCAGAACTTTTAGCCAATCAACAAGAGAGTTCTTTGGATCTTGTGGTCTTATAATCAAATCGGGAAGTGAAATCGGGAACCGATTTCTTGGTTAAGACCGGCTCTGATGGGAGAAAACAACAAACAAATGTACGTTGAGTGCAGCAAACTGCCCACACCGCCCGCCATAACAACAGCAGCAACACGTCCTCCCATTCGTCTTTCGAGCTCCGCGCAAGGTCACCCATCCGAAAACAGTCGACCGTTCGCGAGAAACCTCGTGGAGCCAGGTCGGGTCTGTCTCTGCATCACCGCCCACCCTCAAGCTCACCTCTGCGATCGCGTCACCACGATGAGGTACGTGTGTGTATGTGTCATTTTTTCGCACAAACCATTCTCTCACATGGGATTGTTGTGAATCCGCGGGTAGTCCATGCGCTGCCCAAAGGGCGCAACTCATGGACTGCCCATGGGGAACTTCATGGACTACCGAAGTTGGGCGGGTGTGGGAGAATCACACACGTGGTTTTCGTTGAAAGTGTTCGCCTGCGCACCGCCACATGTGGAGCGACACACCAACTTTGTCAGCTGTTCTCGCCGTCACCACGGCCCTCATCCGCATAGTGTGGGTGGTTCCATCAGCTATAACCGCTGTAGACCCGCAGCTCAGGAGGTAGATATCCGAGGTGGTGGCGAACACAGACTCTGTGACAGACGTCGCGTGCCACTACTCCATGGTATCCTGCTGTCCTGTACTGCCAACAGCCTCTCACAGGGAGCTCTACAGCTCTGCCGTATACGTACCACGTAGCTTGAGCTCTCACCATTTCGACTTTTTGACTTGAAAAAATCGCCGGCAGCTTGCTGTGAGGTCCTCAATTTCGTACTTGATTGTGGGGGAATGGGTTACGACAGAGCAGGGAGCACACACCTCACAAGCACGCGAAACTCTTGCCGACTGCACCGGCCGGCGCGCTCAGAGCGAGGTGTATGGTTTGCCTGGCCGTACTAGCCTTCGCTACACAAAGTTCCGTATTCTGACGCAGGAACAAGCACGGACTGCTGTAGATGGCTCTCTCTCTGAGAAATGCTCCCTTAGGCTGTCTCTTATAACGTTCGGAAATCCAGTTGAAAAATGCGTAATTTCCCAACCCCCAAAAAACAACATGCTGCCTGCAAAAACGTTTCTTATAACGAATCGTTTTTTTTTTTTTGAGTTGGTGCCTCTGCGGCGGCGTTCGTATTTTCAAACGCCGCACGGGCGCGGGAATTTGAACACACGCGGGCGGAACAGACGTAGCTCTCAGACTCCCAGCACGCCGGTGTACAGACCTCCCACGCCATGCCGGCTACGGAATCTCTGCTGCTAGACAAGAACCCCCTGTTGACGGCGGCTTTGGAGTTGTTTAGTTCCGGAATCGGCGATGGATTGACGATGAAGGAAGTTGTCAGGCAGCTGCAGACGGTCGCTCTCTGCTATACCGCGATGGGAGTCAAGAGGAACGCAGGAGAGATAGACAGCAAGAAGAGAGAGGCGCTGCTACTCAAGGCATACAAGGACGACGTCGTGCCTGGCTTTCTGAAATGGTTGTCGGAGGAGGGTGATTGTACAACCCCGCCCTGGCTGACGATGGAGATGATGGGCCGGGTTGCTGTACATACATGTAGGCACCAATGGCACAGGAACGCCGGTGCGGAAGAGCAAGGGGAAAGAGAAACAGCAGCAACCGAAAGGTAAGCATCAAGGTACCAAGGGCGCAGGTTTCAACTGCAGAGTGCTAATCGTAGAGAACTTTACCCTGAGTGTAACGCGCGACATTCGCGAGATCATACCGTCGTTAGCTGTACGACCTTCATCTGCCGCCATTTAACTGTAGGTTTACGTCACGAACGCCCCACCATCTGTTGCCACTTTGTTACAAGGAACCAACACCGTGAACCCAACAGCCGTCCATGCCGCTGATGTACTCTTGCAGTCTACTGTGTGCTGAGTGAACTGTCCTGTTAGGGTAGATTGAGCCCGAGGTTGCTCGTTCGCATCGGCGATTGTTCGTACATCCTCCGCGTGGTGCAAGGTAAAAGTACAAGGGTCCAGCAGTGTAGTCTATGTTGATCATTCAGCTGGGCAACGATTTGCTGAGTTGCCCGAGGTACAACATGTGACACTCAGCCATACGAGCAGTAGGATTCCTGTCTCAGCATTGCTGTTCGCACCGTTGCCCCACGCATTTGCCAGATGAAGAACCAAAGCTGTACAAGGACGGGAAGAAGATCTGGGCAAGGTACCTGGATGCCTTCCGCGACATCAGGAAGGACGCCAACCCCGTGTACGACAAGTAAGTTGCTCGGGTCTGTTTTGAACAATATTTGTGTGTGCACATACTATCGGTAGTTGAAGGTGTGTGTTTCATTATTTTCACCGCGATTGTGTGTAGATATGTACACTGCTACTCTTCCGCCGGCGTGAACACAGCAGAGCTCAGGCGCGCGGCAGACTATCTGCGTCGAACGATCCAGTTTTGTTGTATGCACATGACGTGGGGAAAAATAAGCGGGTGGTACCGCTGACAAACGCGGAAGCGACGGTGGTGGTATGCTACAGAAGAAGTGATGCGCTGACGCAAGTGACTGACCAGGAGTTGTTTTTTTTCTCGCACTCGTGTGCCTCACCGTTGGGCACTTTGATTCTCCCGCATACCCCTGAGCGAAAACTCCAACATACGCGTGCGCTGGGTTTTCGATGTGCCTGATATGTAAGCGCGACAAGGCGGCGATAGATACGCTGGTGGACGGGGTAGCAGGAGGAGGGCGGATGATCAAGGCGACAATCTGTGAACATCCGTAGTTTAGAGTAGCCTGTCGGGAAATTGTTGTGTTTTTCAAAGAGCTCCCACCCGTGGCGTAAAACAGAAACAACTCATCTCGACATAGATTTGGTTCGCCCCCCGCATGATCACTCCGTCCCCAACAGTACCTCGGGCCTGCGCTTTGCCCCGCACTTTTGCTGTTCTACGACGATCTGAACCATATAGCTGCGGCTCAATTGACGACTGATTTCGTTCGGTCTCTTCGTGTCTGGTCATGGGAAGAACCCTCCAAACATGCTTGAAGTTTCTCCTTCTCCCCGAATGATGTAGCTCAAGGGCAACAAAAATGGCTCAGGATTGTTTGACTCAAGGGATCATGTCTTCAGCTGTGCCCATGCTGTCGTAGATGCTACCCCTTCTGCCCCACACGTATCGTACAACAACTGCCCTTTTGTGCCGTCAGATCGACTCCATCCTTTTTGATGAACCCCCTCCCAAGGCCAACTCGAAGCAGAGTATTAAATGTATCAATGGCGTGCTGCCTTGGCGTGGATGCGCGGATCTCTATCTTACAGATGGTGGGGTAAGAAGTTGGCGACCATGATCATTCTTTTTATGTCCGGTGTCGTGTTCTGAAGTTCGTCCATGGGTTCCCGTCGGTTCGCTGATTTTCTTTCTTCGCCCAGAACCATCGGGGACCAACCGGGCGGGACCCCTCCATCTGGAGAGCAGTATGCCGACCAGCTTGACGAGTTACTGCAGGCGTTGTGGGAATACCAATGCAGAGAAAAAAATAAAACCGTGGAAGTGACCGCGGAGGAGAAGGAATTCTTGCGCGCACGTGGCCCCTCGGCGGCGAAGGGCAAGGGTACGGGAAGCGGTTCCTCGGCCGTCGACGTAGACCTCTCTTCCACGGACGGGGAGGTCGTACAAGGTACGGAGAAGGAGGGAGGGGGTGCGGACGCGGGGAAGGATGAGGAGGTGGCGGCGGGGGCGGGGAGGGCGGCGGGTTCTGAGGGAATCGACGGTTCTGGCGACGGTGGCGCGGGACGGGAAGGGCAGCCCATGGAACAGGAGCAGCCGAAAACCCCAGGAGAAGAAGACGACGGCGGCTCTGAACCGGAGTCAGTCGTCCAATATCCCGAGAGGCCTCCCAATTGGATGCCCTACTATTTTCTCACCTTTTGCTTCTTTGGTAGGCCCAGCAACAGCGAGGACACGGACCTTGCAATGAAAGCTGGATCTGGCCCCTCTGGAGATTCTCGTCCGCGGAAGAAAAAGAAAGCTTCTTTGGGCTCGTCCAGCGACGGGGGGAGTGGGAGCGAGGGGGGTGCATCGGACCCCGCCGCGAACTTGGGCAGGGCCGGCGTTAAGCAGTTCGTCGGTGCCGGGGAGGCGCAGAGTCGGGCCCAGGTTAAAAAGGCAATGGCAAAGGACGCAGCCCAACAGTCGGCGGAGACCATACGAAGGGAGGGACTGGAGTTGGCAAAGCAGCAGGCCGAGATATCGAGGTCGGTGGCTAAAGCAGTGGCGCAGGTGGCTGCCGATGTGCAAAGAGGCAGGGAGCTGAGCGAACAGGAGGCTGGCCGCAAGCGCAAGCTGGAAGAAGAGGAAGCATGCCGGAAGCGCAAGGCTCAAGCGAAGGACGATCTGAAAGGCGAACTGGACCGTCTCGATCCAGACGACGAGGACAACACCGCACGGCGCGCGCAAATCAAGCGGGATCTTGCTAAGCTGTACAGAACCCCTGTCAGCAAATTTACTGCTGATGCTGCCACCTCCAACCCAACGAGCACGCCGGCCGTGGCGCCGGCCAATGCGTCAGGCTTGCCGGCGACGTCGTCGGGTGTGGCATCTCCGGTTGCGGTGACAGCGGTATCGGAGACGCCGGCAGCGGCAGCGGCGGCAATGACGACGGCTTCTCCCGCTCTGTCCGGCTTTCCTGGTGCTCCCGCTCTGCCCGGCTTTCCTGGTGCTAGTGGTGGAGTTGTCGGGGCAGTACCGAGTGCAGGTTCGGGGGACGGTGGTGGCGGGGGTGGATATTCGCCTGGTTGGATCAACATCACTAGCATATAGACCTTTTCACCCATGATGCGTGGAACCAGGTGAACGTTCGCATTATTTATTTTTTTTGCGAAGAAGTTGGATGCGGCCGCAGTTGTTTGTCCTTTTCTTGCAGCGTTTTTTTTTTACTCTCGGGGGCCTGCAGCAAGCAAGTGTCGTGAGTGCTGTAGCTCTTTCTCTACTTTCATTTTTTTGTTGTGCTGTGTGCTTAGCGGAAGGTGTTGTTCTGTACGGGCAGCACCTCACCGCCACACACCCTTCGTCACAGCAACGCTCGACCTCTCTTTGTGTTTTTTTTTTGCGAGCGGCCAACGTATGGTGGGGAGCAGGTAGCACCAGCTGAAAGTGGGGGGCGGTAGGGGTGGGCATAGATTCAACCCGTGGATTCAACCCGTGGGTAATTATGGGTGGCAGCAGCAGCCGCCCTTGATTCTGTTACTTGTTTTTCCTGAGTCTGTCTGCAACCAAGAGTGGTGAGTGCTGCAAGCTGCCCTTTTTTTGTAGGGGGAGGTTTGAGCGTTTCGAGGAGGGGTGTTACGGAGTTCCGGATGCATGCGACTCCCCTCCCCCTCCCGATATCCTCACTCCACCATTCTTTTTTTTTTTTGCCGATAATCGATACTTACTTCCAGGGGTTGAGTGTTGCCCAGAAGCGGAGTCTGCACATCTCTTCCAGGAGCTGCACAAATGAATCCGGACAACATCGTTTTTGTTTTTTTTCGATCCCAACGGAAACGCTGGGCCAATTACAGCAGCTATGACACGTCACAACAACGTCTACACTAGCTGGTGTGTCTTGCCCGCGAATGGCGGGGGGGGAGACGTGGTGCTGATGGAGGCAGGGACCGATCACCGATGGGCAATTGTGCCATCCTACTTGGTCTACACTTTTTCCCCTATCCTATCTATCGTATCGGTGTCGCCCATCGCAAACACCGGGGGAGGGGAGTTCACAAACACGCGTGGTACTTCTGGAAGGACCAACGAACCGACAACGGGCTATCATGTACGCGAGTCCTCGACGGGTGATTTACTACCTCCTATTCCCTACCCCCTCTCCGAGCGGCCGACCCGAAACACCCCATCGTACAAATTGGGTCCAAGGAAATAAAGGAACAAACTATCAAATCCACCAAAG